TTGTGATTGCTAGGGTGAAAGATATGCTTCCAATATGACTCCAAATAGATCCTCTTTAATTGTTCAAACTATTATCAAGTTTAATCAATTCAGAAAGAATTTACTCAAATGTCTTACAATTTGAAATTGACTAAAAACTTCATAAGCATATTCATCACGTAGTTCATTCTTAAAAGTTACAAGATTAGTTTTACCATCTTTATTACCAATAACAATTTAATTATCTTATGCAGTCTTGCTCAAATCCAAGTGACTGTGATAAATCTTTAGCCCTCTACCACAAGAATTCTAAGGGCTTTGATCTCATGCTTTAATATCACAATAGAATTTTGAAAGAATCCATCAATAACATCTCACAAATTCTTTTAGATACAAGTGAGTGGAAATCTACCAATTATGAAAAACAATATTATTATAATGACAAAGATATAATGTTCATAAAAAAAAGAAGCTAAAGCAACAGAAAACAAGCTAATGGAATTTTAACTAATTTAACTCTTTACATTCTTATTGGTTTTGTAGGACGCAGTAACAGTAGAGTCAACAATGTGACAGTTAGTGCATCTCAAAAAAGTAAAATAGACATTGTTGTATCTTAGGGTAATGTTGGTTTGGTGTAGAATATGATTGGTGCATTTTAACTTGATGACACCTTTTAGAATGAATTATAGAGTTGTTCAAGATAGACAATCTTTTCAGAGATTTATGTGTGAGTCACACATACATTACAAAGGATAGTTTCATGTCATTGAATCAACATTTAGACATAACAAATGATCATATCATTTTGAATCTGCTTGGTAAGAAGTTCTTTGACTATGCAATTTCAGGTGATTTTTGCACTCTACTGATTCAAAAGATCCATAGGGAAGGGCAATGTAGTCCACTCAAATCAAGTTTGGTGTGAGTAGCTTGTTATAAACTAGATCCAAATAGGTTAGCTATACAGGAATTTAGTGATTGAAAGTGCCAAACATAGAAGAAAAAATATAGAAAGAAATATACAACCCATGATTGAAAATTAGCCAAGCATTGAATTCATCAAATAACTAAAAATAAGAGGCATAACCATCAGCCAACCGACTTAGTAGAGGCATCACAAGAGGTTTCTATTGTTGTACCTTGGGAAGGATAGATAACAACTTTTATCATAGTGTATTGCTTCTCCTATGCATTTGCAGCATATAACAACTACACTAGAATTTAAAGGTGGTGTTATGACCTTTATAAACAACTTGTAATGCTACTGCACCATACCCTAGTTTGTTGACTTGCTCTTGTGGTGTTGAACTTGTTAGAGCTAGGGATGATGTAGCATGTAATTATGCCCATGTGGCAATAGTTTCTATATATATGTACAGTTGAGATATAAGACTCTTCCTATATGTATCTTTCCACTACTTTCATAGTATTGGAGCCAATTAACTCCTTGGTGCTTGTTGGTAAGAGGCTAGTGACAAGGAGGAGGATGAGTCTATTAATTGCAATCCCTCTTGTAATGTTTGTGAGGCATTGGATGTGTTAGATGATTAAAGCATTGCATTATGGCACCAGGCTGTGCAAAGGCACTAAACAACAAGCAGAGCATAAAGTCAGTGGGAGATTGAGAAATTTAAACAACCCGCATCAAGAATTAAGTCAATATTACATGCAGAAAATTTTAGCAATTAGAAAGGATGCTTATAGATATTCAAGTGTCTGGGGGAGTCTAGCAATTATGCTTGTGGCAAGTTTTAAACCATAGTAATGAACAAAAGTGTCCAAAGAAGGCCAAGACAAAAACTAAGTTTTGGGTAGTTTTTCGTATGCTTTTCTCATTCTCTCCATTTTAGATTAGTTAAACATGATTTAGGCTTAGATTCAAGCTTGGATGAGCTGCTGGTTATGGTTATGAGTGGAAGTGTTAAAGGTAGAAATGTGGCAGTAACTTTCTTTCAAAGCTTTTACCTCTGCCTTACTGTTCTGCTGTCTCTACAAGGATGTGCATGATTTGATGTTTTCACTCATTTCTGTCTTTCTTATGCTAAGGTTAGCAAACAAATAATGGACAGCAATGACTACAACATTCCAGGCTCCTTAGAGATCACAAGCACTAGGCCGTTTATCTTAAGTTTCTCTTTTTTGCAGGCAGAAATTTTCTCCAATGTACTTGATCTTCCCTTCTTGAACGAGCTCACCCATCAATAAAGCCAATGCTTCAAGATCAAAACACAAGAATTTCTGCTGATTTTAATCTTGAACCATTGGTTTTTGTATCAACCAAAAACCCAGGCTCAGGGGACTCTGACCTTGAACCCAGGGCTGCATTGGAGCCATAGATTGGATCATGCACAGCATATACCATTCATTCACATATGCTAGCAATTAGAACCGTCAGCCTTTCAAAGGGGGAATCCGAATTGTGAATCCTCATTTCCATTCATCATTTTTTTTATCAATACACAGCATTCATCCTTCTTCTCAGCCCTTCCTTTTCCTTTCTATTTTCTTACTAGCAATAGATATCTAGCGAAGAGGAGTATCCACACCTCTTCAGCTTTGTTGATGTGTGAGCTCGTCCAAGAAGGGAAGATCAATTACATTGGACTCTCAGAACAGGTGTTGTTCATAGAGATGTTTCAATCAATAACATCCATGTGTGGGACTGTGCAACAAGATCCCTACTTGAACTTTGACTTTGCAGTTGCTTGTCAAGCGACTTGGAGTGCAATAGTTTACAATTCAATCTGAAAGTGTTATAGTAAAACAAACTAAGCTATCTTGCAGAAGTGTCTGACTGCTTCAAAGATGTACGACCCTGTAACCGTCGGATTGAAGAAAGTTTCTATATACAAGGGAGGAGAGGCTTGAAATAGCGACTCCTTCAGTGCGCCGGCGTCTGAAGAACTTCTTTGCGTCTTCGTCACAAGCAGAGGCAGAGGGGTCTAGCCTGTCTCTGTCCGTTACCAGCCAGATTACCTTACCTTTCTGTGAACGCTGATCAAATGCATCCTGTGAAGTCTGTATCACTCAACACCTCGTCACTCGCCTAGAAGGCGAAATAAAGGGCATCCCGAATCTGTTCCGCCATGACGATCGCATGCATGTCAAAGATCCAGATACCAGCCGCGTCAGCATTTCCTTAACGTCGTCTTCCGTTTCATCTTCGTAGTTTATCATGTACAAGATATGCACTGCAAGATTTCTAAGAAGACAGCTTTTCCCTCCGCCTTTGGGTCCTGTCAGCACTTGAAGAGCATGAAGTATGATGTCTTGAAACACGCTACGCTCACAATAAACAAACTCTTGCGGCCTTCGAACCGCAACTTGAGAGACCTGGAAATGGCAAAATCATCTTCTCCTCCAAGCCCTAAAAATGTTTTATTTCAAAATTGCATGGGCCAGCATTTGGCACAATTCAGCAGACGCTGACCTGCTTGTAGTGGCTGGGTCTACCGTCTGGGTATCTCACCAGTGTCATTCTGTAGCCTTCACGCTTGAGAAGCAACTGTTGACTCAACTCGAGTTGCTCACAAGCCATTTCTCCGGCATGCACACTTGAACCTCGGATGACTTTGGAGTGCAGCA